AGGTTTCTCTTAACGTTGTGCTCGTCAATAATAGTAGTGATATCCATTAAAAAAGGGGAAACATGCAAGGGACACCCATTCAATTCTCAAAAATTAGCTCATTTCCTATTACCTGAAATTCAAACATCATAAAATCCCCCACCATCTTCCATTTCTAAAAGAGCCTTACGATTCCAGTACCTAAAACCTTAAAGTCTTGGTTAATGAGAAGGATGCAACATGAGGAATTTGTTTCTTTTAATGAAGGGAGAAAAGGAACAGATGTCAAATCACCAAAGTAATATCAAGAGTGCTTCAATACAAGAACCACGAAGTAGACTAAAGATGTTCCCATTACTCAGCCTCACAAGCTTTCCTAGGGATAAAACCATACTTGCCTACAATTTATAGTACGCTACTACTTGTATATGCCTAACATACCTGTGTCAACACAATTCAAGATCGATACAACTACCAGAGACTGCTAAAACACTTGTAAATATAAAATACTATAAATATAAAGAAATAATATGAATAAATATAAATTATGCACCATGATATGGAGACATGTACTAATGCATCAAATGCACATATTTATCCATTATATAGGCTATATCAGATAGGATACTTGTATCCACATCCATGTCCTAGATTTTGGGAAATGCCAAGTTGTCGTAGTTTCACTCTCCTCATCCATGCTTGTATCCGGAAAAGTGCATCTTAGCCAACAAGTAAAATGTAATAATACACCACATTAAAATCATTGCCTAAAATACAATGATTCTCAATACATGCCTTTCCAAATAGAGAGATTTCTTATACTTACCCGAAGATGTGATACGTAATAAGCCACTTGTAATACACAGTTATCATTCTATAACATAGCTTCGTCTATTCAAATGACCAATAACAATATTGAATAATGTACTAGGACTCAAGTAGCCAGATCATTAATATCTCCCAATAGTGTTCATTAAGTAAATTGCTACTGCTCCTTTGCTCATACTCACAACTCACAATTGGAATCAAGGGATGGCAACAAGCTCTAAAAAAGAATATGCCCAATATTTCCTCTTCTAGTTGTATAATCCTAGTTGAGCCTCATATTTCCTCTTTATATAATCCAAGTTGTAGGCCATTACCGAAAAACAATCATATTATAAAAACTTGGCAATGAAATAGAAATTATCAAAACTTAGAAGAGCATAAAAATGTTAAGAAAAACGTTAAACAAATAGTAAGTAAAGCTAAACTTAAGGCATATGATAATCTAAACAATAAACTTGGAACAAGAAAAGGCGAAAAAAATGTCTTCAAATTAGCAAAAATGAGAGAAAAAAAGTGTAGGGATTTAGAACATATTAAATGCATTAAGAGTGAGGATCAAATGGTCTTGGTGAAAGATGAAGAAGTCAATGAAAGGTGGAGAGCTTATTTTCCATAATTATTAAATGATGAACACAATGGATACACAACAGTAGAAGGAACCATAGGCAAATTAGGGCAGAGGCTTTTTAAGACAAAGCCTCATAAGAATTTTCTTCTAAAATATGAGATCTCATGAGATTTTGTTTTTGACTTTGGCCTCCCACTTTTTATAGAGGGATATATAGACTGCTTTGCCCCTCTTTTAAAAGCAATATCTTAAAGCTTCTCATCTCTTAACTTTTTTCCCACGGTTTCTTCCCTCCTCTCACATCCACAATATAACCCAATGCATTCTTCTTTTCTCTCACATTCTTTCATATTCTCTTTAAAAAATGTGAGAAGAGGCAAGAATGGGGCTGAGGTTGAGAGAGAGAATGTGAATGGAGGCAAAAATGAGATTGGGTTTCCAGAGAAAGAATATGAGAGGAGGCAAGAAATGGGTTGGGCTTCTAGAGAGAGTGTGATTGGAGAAAATTGAGATTAGATTTCTAGAGAGAGAATATGAGATGAGACAAAAATTGGGTTGCGTTTTTATAGAGAGAATGCAATAGTGGAGAAGAACCAGTGTTCACAAAATCGAACTGGAACGGTTAACAGGACACCGGCCTGGAAGCGGTTTAAACGGCCCAACCGGTAAACCTGCCAATTCAACCGCTCTAATCGGGCAAGTCTTGGGCAGTCAAAAAAGTGTTAAAAAAATTAAAAAAAACAAAATCTACTAAAATATAAAAAGCATATAAAGAATGATTAAAACAAAACACATTCAAATGAAGTGGAAAATTAATGAAAAAATTGATTTTAACCCATTTTATATTTTCCAAGGGCTATTTTTAAACTTTTCTAAAAAAAATGGGAAAGTATAAAAGTGAGTATTAATGACCAAAACAAATTTTAATCTTTACCATAATGTAAAGAATATGTAAAAATGCATTACAAATCAAATTCCTTACTTTAGAGAATTTATATACATTTTTTTGAATTTTTTTTTTTAAAAATACTGGTTGATCACCCTAACCGCTCAAAACCAGAACCGATCTAACCAAGCGGTTAGCGATTAGATCAGGCGATTTTGCGAACAATGAAAAGAACATGTTCGGTGTTTAGAGGAGAAAAAAATTTTCAAAAATAAGTTTTCAACAAGTCTAATATCTTAAAAGTAGAGCCTAACAAGGCTTTATTCATAAAAATCCCTAGATACATTCGCTTTGAAGATGATGAAGATAGAAAAGGCTTTAGAATGAGATGGTATCCCAATAGAGGTTTGGAAGTACATAGGGGTATATTGGCATTGACTGGCTGACCAAGTTGTTCAACAAGGTGTTAAGAACAAAAGAAATAGTAGGCGAATGGAGGAAAAGTATTGCAATACCTATTTATAACAACAAATGAGACATACAAAATTGTGCGAACTATTGAGTGATTAAACTTATGAGCCACATTATGAAGTTATGGGAGAGAGTGATTAAGCAACAACTAAGGCATGAAACGAGTGCATCAGAAAACCAATTCGGTTTTATGTCAGGGAGGTCAATTGAGGTGATTTTCTTACTTGGACAACTAATAGAGAAGTTTAGGGCTAAGGAAAAAGACCTCCATATGGTCTCCATTGATCTAGAGAAAGCTTATGATAAAGTGCCTCGAGATTTAATTTTGTGGGTGCTGGAAAAGAAAAGTGTCTCCAGATACTATACCGATATGGTGGGAGATATGTACGAGGGAGCACTAACTAGTTTGCAAACAACTGGTAGAGAAACAAGTGAGTTTTCAGTGACAATAGGTCTACATCAGGGGTCACCATTGAGCTCATACCTTTATGTCTTAGTTATGAATGACCTACCTAGGCACGTACAAGATGAGGTACTACGGTGTATATTGTTCTTGGGCGACAGTTTTAATTGATGAGACCTGAAGCAACAACATAAAGTTAAAACTTTGAAGAGATGCTTGAGAATCCAAAGGTTTTAAAATTAGCCAGACTAAGACAAAATATATAAAATGCAAGTTTAGTAATAATAAGAGTAAAGACGAGGAAGTTGAGATTGACGCTAAGAAATACCAAAAAGAGCGCATTTTTTATATCTTGGGTCGATAATCTAGAAAATTGAGAGATTGAGGAAGATATTGCGCATAAAATTAAAGCTAGATGGGCAAAGTGGAGATACGAAAAGGAAGTTTTATATGACCGAATACCAATGAAGTTAAAGGGGGAGTTCCATAGGACAGCTGTGAGACCAGTTTTACTTTATGGGGCGGAGTGTTGGACGGTCAAGAAACAAGATATTCATAGGATGAGTGTAGCTGAGATGAGGATATTGCAATGGATGAGCAGCAAGACAAGAAGAGATAGAATTCGAAATGAATACATTTGGGAGAACTTAAGTATGGCTCCAATAGGCGATAAGTTGTGAAAGTAGACTTAGATGGGTAGGCCATGCGCAGCGCAGACCCAGTATGGCACCAATTGGACGGTGCGAATTTGTTCAAGTGGAAGGCTCAAAAGGGATAAGAGTTAGGCCCGAAAGAACATGGTTGGAAGTAGTGAGAAAAAATACAGGGACATATGGCCTCACTGAGGTATGACCCCTGATAAAGCAAAATGGCGGACCAGGAATCGTGCAGTCAACCCCAAATAGTTGGGAAAATGCCCAAATAATGATGATGATAATCCAAGTTGTACTTTTGAGACAACTAATACTCAAGTGGATTCAATCCAACCTTTAGTACATGTGTCTAATTGGTTCCCTCGCATCCTAATTTCAGCTTAATGAAATGTAGCTTATAACCCTCGTCCTCAAGTAGAGAGCATATTGCTTCACAAGAAACCTGAATATAAAGAAAAGTTTAGAGAATTATTAACACTATTGAGAAGTAGCTTCATCAACTTTGCTTCTTTCAAATCTTCACCTAGCATGACTATCCACAGAAAACACATCAAGTATCTAGATTTTCAACCCTTGAACTCCCTAGTTTAACTAAATATGGAACTCACCAAGGACTTTGTGAGCCAGTGAACCGTACACATCATATGAATCTTCCTTGAGAGGACATTTATCGGTTCCTAATCTTTAAGGCATATCTTTTCACAAATAAATTGTGTTAGAAGTTCCTTACTCTCCCAGAATCATAAACATGATCCTTACTCTTCCAGAATCATAAACATGATAAAAGCATCATCTAGTGGCATTTTATAATGTTATTCTTTGACCAAAGTATCCAGTGCATGCATTCCTACTTTACAATGAAATTAGTTGAACACATAGAAAGTTATGCATGTTTTGCTTAAGAGAAGTGGTTCTATCTCTATCTTACACTTCAAAGTTCAAATTTGAAACAGATTGAGGCATCAAAGTTGAGTTCAAGAATATGATGGAAATATCAAATGGATGTGAATAGTTAAGAGTTATATGGACTAGCCATCTCATTCTGCGAACAAAAAGAAGGAATACATAAATTGTAAATGGAACAACAGTATTGCACTCGTGCAAATACAGTTGGCAATTATCAAAGGGGGGAGTAGAAGAGGCATGAATTACAAGGATACATTTCCATCCAATTATGAATAAACACTATTTTGTAACAAAGGGACTACATACCTCCACTTCGAGCAGAATCTTCTGGTTGTGAGTCTAGCTGAACCTGTCAACACAAATGAAAAGATCCCTAGTAATTTGAATTTGGATCAAAAGCAAAAAGGAACACTAGCAAAATACAGTCGTAAGAGAAAATAGTTACATTTGCAGAACAAGACCAAAATATTGGTGAAACGCCTTTTAGCTTTCAGATTTAAGCATTATCAATACAATCGAAATGGTTGGCATATTTCACCTAAAGTTGTGAGAAATAAATAAATAAATTATTCAAAGAATGAGAAAAAAAAAGGAATATATATAAACAATGACAAAGTGAAAAATCAATGATGAAACTAATGCATGAATCCCCAATTGTACCCAAGTTTTAAAATATACTTAATATTCTTAAGATAGATGTCCGTAACAGATATGAACTTATAAGGAGATTTGAATCCCTGAAATTAAATCTTCGTTTCATTTTTTGTTTTTGCTACATATTTTCAGTTTAGTCATGCATCTCATTTGAAAAATCGCAATAACAAACAAGCGAATAGATCCATGTGTAGACACCAACTAAGAAAAAGCAAAGAGATGGAAATAAAATAATTCAATATACAGAGAAAAAAGGAAAAAAATTATGACAAAGAATAAAACATGAAATAAAGTGTCCAAACCCATAAATTACCAAAATATTTCCACCAAAACCATGATTACTGGGAAAAGTAACCAACAACACGTTTTTACTCAAAATGACTGAGTTAGTTGGAACACAGAGAAATCAAAACTAATTCAACTCCTCACAATCACATCTTCTATGAAAAAGATGCAAAATAAAAAAGGAAAGTGGGAGGTTACCTTATCATCAGAGAACAAGTACAAGTACGCCAGACCACCTGAAATTGCAGAAATGGCTCCAAAATGGGCCTTGCTTTTTTTCCATAACTCCTCAGAGGTTGTGTGAAAGGAAGGAGAAGAAGCCATGGAGCTCAAATTGGATTGAGCCCTTGATCTAAGAGCCACAGGAGCAGTTCTGGCAAAGCGCTTCAGAAGAAGAGCCATTGTCGAGGAAGAAGAAGTCGGTTCTTTGACAAGCTTGTGGATTGATTTAATGAATTGAGCAAGCTCCCGCGGGAGCATAAATTTATCTTTTTAACGGTTTTGTTTGAAAGGGAGGGGAGCTAGGGTGTGGCAATGGACGGGACCGACCCGGGTCTGGTTATGGGTCCAAAATTTGGACCCAGCAATCGGGTCGGGTCCAAATGCAGGACCCAAAATATTGAGTGGGGTCCAGGTCCGGTGAGGTACAGATCCCACATTTTCCAATTTATGAAGTTTATGTGCATGGGAGAGAGAAATAATGAATGATTTTAGGAGAGGAGAGATTTTTATGGAATGCGGAGAGAGAAATAAGGAAAGTAAGAGAGAGTGTCACGACTCCACTCCCTACCATCTCTGTCGGACCCACAAAGGGCTAAGTCCGGACCCGTCGGAGGACAATAGGGCGTGGAGTCATGACCACAGGTAGCGAGTGCCACTCAGACCGGAGTCCTCTCAACATTATGAAGAGAAAGAATTTCCAGTATCAAAGACAACCACAAAAGAAACGAAAAAAATGAAACACAATACATGTCAATATAGTCTATTGGACAAACAAGTCCCAAAAATACATATAACACTCCAAAATAGTACATATGGGTCTAAGGCACAAAGGCCCAACATCAAGACATATACGAACTTAGAAAAAATTATATGGCCAGACAGCCGACCAAAACGTATATTGTAAAATGGAGCTTCAACCAAAGGGGGGTAAGGGACCCCAAGCGCAACCACCAAGACATGTCATTCCAAACACGCTGGCTATCACTCTACATGGAGGGAAAATTTAAAAAAGTGAACTGTAAAGCCCAGTAAATAGATCTAGGTGTCATGCAATCATACTTACAAATATCACATCACAACAATAATCATGGTCTTATGCAAATCTTACAAAACATGGAGTCATGTGTCAAATTCACATATAAATAAACGTGTCATGCATGATTTGTTTCATGCTAGAGTAATAACAAATCAGATTCATTAGATATGATTGTAACAAGAGTCGATCAAATCATTCGAGCATGAGTGTCATAACAGCTCAAAACAGTTATGCACGTATGTAACAAGCATAATTTAGATCAAAAGATACCAACTAACTCTTGAAGTAGAAGCCCCATTATCTGGCAAGTCAAATCCTGATGCGTAAAGCCTCTACCATTACAACCAAGAGGAAGCACCACCAACAGGTAAATCTGTTGCGTAGTGCCTCACACACACACACGGTCCCCAGCGTGCTTTGGGACTTTTGATAGGTATTGGCCTTGCAAGACACGGCCCTCTCATGTGCCTTTTGGCAAGAGAGCGTTACACTACTAAATGGGTCTCAATAAGTAGTGCCTCACATAATTTTTGAAGGAATGACCACCCAACACGCACACACACTCCTAATTCTCATCCTATCATAGAGGCTTAGGGAAAAATAACAGCTGCCGGCACAAATATCTCATCATATCATAATAGAGGCATGTCTTTATGCGCCCATATCTTATTAGAAGCATGTTACCAGGCACACATATCTTATCAAAAGCATGTTGTCATGCACACATATTTTATTAAAAGCATGTTACTATGCATACTTATCTTATCAAAAGCATGTTGCCATGCACACATATCTTATCAGAAGCATGTTGTCATGCACATATATCATATCAGAAGCATATTACCATGCACACATATCATATCAGAAGCATGTGGTCATGCACACATATCTTATCAGAAGCATGTTGTCATGCACACATATCTTATCTTAAGGATGTTATCATACACACATATCATATCAGAAACATGTTATCATGCTTGGATCATATAACAGAACCATGTCTCTATGAATCATATTAGAAGCACATCATACACATAATCACAAAAATATCAACATACCTAGAGCATGCTATACATATAATCACAAGAACCATCATTATGTCATATTATCATTCTAGATATATTGTCATGCAATATCATGTCATATATCAATGCAATAGACATCACTATGTCATATTATCATGCTTATCAATTCTAGATACATTGTCATGTCATATATCAATGGAAAATATGTCACTATGTCATATTTCTGATTTTTCAGTATGAACACTGTCCACATTTAATGGCATATCATTAAATTTAAAGATCGTTCAACCTTGCAACAACTTTTATGACAATCCAGATTCATAAAAAAAACAACTTTTATGTAGGAAGTAACCCCAAATATCGGTCTAAAGTTTGTCAAACTATTTGATGTTCTAGAATGAAATTTCTGTTTTGCGCAGCAGAAAATCCAGGATGACACCTTACTTGAGAAATGACCATAACTTTCAAACCATAAGGAATTTTATTATGAATCCAAAACCAATGTTTAACTAGACTCATCTATCAATTAAACTCTTCACAAAAAAATATGTTAAATTCCTGGAATTTCATTTCACAGATCTGACATGCTTCAACAAACAGTTAACAACTTTCAAACTAAATGAGATATTACAAATGGGTCTATTCCATATAGAAGTACATTCAACATACTACTGAACAACCAAATTTTATGGTTTAAGGAATGGTTTATGGTGCCCTAACAATCTCTCAAACAGGGACCACACTTCTGGAAATCGAAATACACTCTAACAGAATTTTAGTAGCATGCACCCACACTCAAATTTCACATTTTAATTGGGCAAGGAAACATGCATTAACATAAACATGACACCATGAAAACTAAATCTACTTACCTACTCCAATTGAAACTTCCAAGGTGCAAAGCTCAACAAGTTCCACTTCGATTGCCAAGCATCAAGTGGATTGGGTTCAAGCTTCAGAGGTTAAGGGCTTAGGAGGGTGGGGGGGATGATGGGACTTGGAGGGGTTTAAAGGCTAAGGGGAAAAAAGGGCAAGTGAGGACGTGAAGAGGTGATGACAGAGAGAAAAAACCAAATTAATGAGTGAATATAAGCATGGGGGGAAGCATGCATGTGCCGCAAGTGATCATGCATGAGGAGAGAGAATGCATGCTTGAGGAACACAATAATGGGGGTAGAAGCATGTATGTACCATATGACACTCAAGTGATCATGCATGAAGAGAGAGAATACATGCTTGATGAACACAATGATAGGGGTGGAAGCATGCATGCGCCACATGATACTCAATTGATTATGCATGAGGAGAGAGAAAGCATGCTTGGGAGAGAAAGAGCATGAGAGAGAAGAAATACCCTAAGCCCACCAAACGCCACTTGAGCCCAACCGCACACTTAACCATCCGTGCTCCATGCGCACTCATTACCCGCGCTCAACTGCGCACTCATCCATCCGCACTCCACGCGCACTTGTCTACCCGCTCCAGCTGCTCACTCATCGACATTCATTTCTCTGGAAAAGTCTCAGACCTTACAAAGAGTGAGCGAGAGATTTAGAGGTGATGAGAGGTTAAGATATTTTTATGAATGCTTTTGTGAAG